CAAGCGGAAAGCTCGGGGTGGTCATGTGACCCGCTGCAGACCGGCTGGCCGAGGAGCATTTCCAGGAGGTTTTCGCTCCTCCGAATGACCCCAATCTTCTATCTTATAACATGTTTCAGTAATTATCTGATAGGACGAGTACAATGGAAGCAATTATCCGGAGCGGGAGTTGTGTCTGGAGACGGGACGGATATAAATAGCGGAACTTTCCTCGGAGAACGGAGCGCGGGTCGCAGATCTAATTGTGGAACTAGAAACAGGAAAATGTCACCGACCTTCTTGCGCAACTTCTGGATGCGATTAATGACTTCTCTGGCGACTCCTTCATCCACCATGGACTGGTCAGGAGTGACATCTAACAAAACAAGGACCTGCAGAGATCGGCCGCAGCGGGAAAGAATAAGAAGAATCATTTCATGCGTTTATGACTTATGTGCATCCCGTGACAGCCAATCAGGACGATACGAATGTCTTCCTCGGGTAGGTGTCACCGCCGCTCATGTGACGCACACTTTATAGAATTACCAGCTGGCTGATCATTAAATACATTCTTCCTCCACCCACATCGAAACGCATGATAAATAGTCCCACACAAGGGGCCCGGACAGTAATCCCCCCCCCCGGCATCCCCCCTCTGATCTCTGAACACAATTACCAGGCCTTATAACCTCCCATTCTGCTGAATCCCACTTCTCCTTCAGGGAGAGATGACAGGTACTCTTCATGTTTCAGGAACCGGGGACACTGACCTGATCGTCTGAATGAGCCTCGAACTGAGTGTGGCCCCCGGCGCTTTGATCGAAGGAATAGAGGAGACGCACATCTTCCTCATGTAACTCGTGGTCCATCACCACTATGGAGCCTGGGGGGTGAGAAGTGTTATGGAAATTCGCTTGGTTCAATGCACAAATCCATGCTGCGCTAGAGTGCGCCAAACACGAAGAATTTCCCCCGTGCCTAGAAGCACAGCTGTACTCCGCTCCTTTGTGCGAGGACCGGAGGGACCCCTCCTTAGAGTCAGGACACCGGAGACAGATGATGCTTGTTAATCCCATCGTTAGAGAGCCAGCACAGGCATGTGTTTATTGTTTTATACCTGCCCCAACAGGAAGTGATGTCAGGCAGGAAGTGATGTCAGGCAGGAAGTGATGTCTCAACCAGCAAACCATCACTTCCTTACTACATATTAACATATCAACACAACATATCATCTCCAATTACCACTGGAGAACCTTATCCAGCGCGGCTCAGTGATCAATGCCCAGTAGCGGTACTAGGATCCTCATGCGCGCTGATTTACAGGGACAACGTCATATCATCTCCAGCCGGTGATCAGACGCACCACAGACAACAAACGCACGTTCCTTTCAGAAAGGCCGATATGTGTCTTATATAATGTGATGTCCTCAAAGCAAGTTGTATACACGCCAAACCAATAAATCCGCGCACCGCGCAGGGGCCCTAGCTTGGCGTCCATACATTCGCTAAGAAGACACTGCTCCGCCGCGCATAAGATATCTCCTCCAATGGATTAATCCCCCAGCGTCTATTTACACCGAGACACTGAGAGACTAATGACAACACAATACACTAAAAACACATCCTAATAACATTTCCACAGCAGAAGACGGCAGGTTCTGAGATCCGCGGATCCGGAGAGAATTTTATACTGTTCGGACTTTGTCCACCAACCTGTTTTCTGGAACTCTTCTAGTTCTTCGCTCTTCAGCTCTTTGATGGCCGCCGTGATCGCCTTAAATGCTCCTTTCAGTCGTTTTCCGAGCACCATGTGATCCGGCTCGGCTCTCAGGCGGATTCCATACCTTGTCTTGTCTGTAGATAGCGTCACTTTCCTGACATTCAGTTCCTGCGGCACACAAGAACCAATCAGATGGCCGGCTTCTCACCTTCCACCACGAGGATGTACCGCCTGGACCTATGCTAGGCCGCCGACGGTCCGACATGCGCACCAACCATAGGCACTGAGGTGCAGCTACACCCGCACTGCCCCTATTTCAGAAACCAATATGGAGACCCGACACCTAGAATGAGCAGTGGGAAGTCCGGGAACGTCCAGACTATACGCAGGTAAGAGAAGAGATACACAGTCCGGTGACAACAGGTTCTCACCTCTACAATGTACTTCTCCAGGGACTGGATGTCAGAGAGGGCCTCCGGATCCTGGTGGATGACAATCACTTCCTTCAGCGGATACTATGAGAGAGAATGAAAGATTCGGCTACACAAACAATGAAAGGAAAGACCGCTAAATGTTTATAAATAATTCAGGAAATAGTTTACCGTGTCCCCAATTATGAATGAACAGGAAGTAATGTACATCACTTCCTGTTCATTCATGGTTGTGGATAGAGTAACTCATTCTATATCCCCCGTCTATGAATGGACAGGAACGCTCAGTATGGAGGCCTCAGTATAGAGGCAAGCATCATGTATGACCCATCGCAGGAAAGAACCTCCATGCGTGTCACACCAGAGACTGAATTGTATCCAAAGATATAGATTCAGGTGATGGAACCCCCTAAATTCCTGAACCC